GGACTACACAGAGAAAGCCCATCTCAAAAGAGAAAGAGGAAAGGAGGGAGAGATGGAGGAAGGAAGGAAGGAAGGAAGGAAGGAAGGAAGGAAGGAAGGAAGAAAGAAAGGTAAGAAATGTGATCCACCATATAAACAGACTGAACGACAAAACCCACATGATCATCTCATTAGATGCAGGAAAAGCCTTTGGCAGAATCCAACATCCCTTCATGATAAAAGTCCTGGAGAGACTAGAGATATAAGGGACATACCTGAAAATAAGAAAGGCAATTTACAGCTAGCCCACCTAGGCAAAAATCAATCTAAACAGAGAGAATCCCAAAACATTTTCACTAAAATCGGAACAAGACAAAGCTGTCCATCTCTCCATACCTATTTAATATAGTACTTGAGAGACCTTGCAACGCTCAGCCCTAAATAGGATGGTTCCATCAAATCCCTCCCCACAGGGCTCTGTAGAAGAGCCAAAGGGGATGAAGGACACCAAGAAGACAAAATCCTGTGAACACAGCAGGACTGACATACATACATACATACATACATACATACATACATACATACATGCATACATACATGAGCTCACAAGGAGCACACAACCGTAACAGTGGATACACAAGATGAGAAGCTGGGGGAGGGGAGCCCGAGACTGGAGAAGCTTAGGGTAGGGCGGGGTCAGAACAGCTGAGAAGAGCCACAGGGTTCCAGGGAGACTGGAGGCCCGCTTGTGCTTTGTGTGCTCGTAGGCACCACAGATGGCCACTTGTCCCTGAGTTTCTTTTGGACCTGACACAAGGGAGTGTCTCACTGGGTTACAAACCACTCTTAAGTGCAGGCCCCATGCCCAGGAGTTGATGGCCAACAAGAAACAAACTCAGTGACATCTTTAGAGGTTCTTCGTTTTATAATGTTTTGTCAGGACATTTAAAACAAAATTTTACAAGTTCTTTACTTGTAGATGATGGCTTCTTGTTTTGTGTCTCATAACTGTAATTTTTCTACTGTTATCAATGCAAATGTCTGATATGCAGGATACACAATGAGATCGTGATCTGTATGTTGAGAACTGCTGGTCTAGTCTTCCCTCTCCAGGTCTCCATTCCTTCCTTTTAAAATGGAGGGTCACTCTGTTCTTTTGTCTGTTGGATGTACCTTCTTGCGTTTTCACAATCGCTCACAGCTAAGAGTTCACTTTAAGTCTCAGAAGACTTTGAACTTTTGAATAATGTAAGGCTATGAAGGTTTTTAAGTTCTGCTCACTACATTTTGGATCGTGAGTTAGACATGAGTCTATGGGTATAAGCAACAGAATGTTATAGTTTATATGTGAAATGCCTCCCTTAGGTTCACCTGTTTGAACCCTTGGTCCCCAGCTGGTGCATTTTTCAGGGAGATTATAGGCCTTTAGAGGGTGAAGCGGAACTGGAGGAACTGAGTTCCCGGAGGGGTGGGTTGGCCTCGAGGGCCCAGCTCTGCTCCTAGCTCCAGTTACTCTGCTTCCTAGTTGGCCACCATCATGTGAACCAGTAGCCGTAGGCTCCCACAACAGACCCAGTGCCTGCAGCTGCCATGATGCACTGTAGCTCTCAAACTTGAAGCCAAAAATAAATGTTTCTCTCCCAGGTGGAGAAAAAATAAACGAAAAGAATAAAGAAAACTAACTAAGGGATTTGGGGTTTGTGGTCCAGGGTTAGAACATGGACTTAGCATGTGTGAGAAGCCCTGGGTCTGGTTCCTAGTACGTCATATATGTAAAGAAAATGAACTAGTCAGCACAGTATTTGTACATAGCAAGGCAAACGCATTAGTGATTATTATCATAATTGTGTCCATGTTAATAAAGCATCAGAGAATCGATCCCTGGGGTATTGGAGGGTGAGAAGGTAGAACATCTGGGGCATGCCTGGAGAACAAAAGACTATTATCCTGAATCACTGTCGTGTGTGTTCTGATTTTACTCAGATTGCATATGCGCTGCTCCTGTGAGAGAACTGTAGGAGATGGCTTTTCGCCGTCCCCTGCACTGATTCTGACTGGCCCACAGCACTGGTTTCAGTTTGCCTGTGTGATTTCTAAGAGTGTGTGATACAAAGAGGTTATGCAAGGCAGGGAGCAGAAGCTGGAGTTGTGAGACTGTCATCTGCCTCTCTGGATCCGGATGAGCCTGAAACCCATCACACTCCAGACGTCTCCAACTTATGACTTAACAGCTCTCTTTTTGCTTGCTTGAGTTCTGTTTTCATCTGTCGTGCAGAGACTCCTGACACGGTTGTAAATGCCACTTGAGTATATCTCTAAATCCTGGTATATGTGGATTTCATATGTTATTATTTTTGGAATATTTATGCGAGCTTGCTGCTGTCATCAGAAGAACTGTGCCTATCTCCAATCCTTCTGCCAGCTTAAGTTTGACGATTTGTTCAAGTTAATAAGAAACAGGGTGTGAAGAACCCAACACACTCGAATTCAGGAAAGTGGCTGTCACATCCTCAGGGAAACCGCTGTCCTCTCTGCAGATGTCCTGCTGCTGTCAAATGTACTTCAGCAATCTACCACTAGGGGGGAGGACAGCCCACAGACTTGTTCCTGCTCTTTCTGATGGTGTTGGCTGTAGATGTTTATCTCAGGAGACCTTTTAGAGGAAATCATTGTGTGACCATTGAGAAGGAAGGGTGTCTGCAAAATGTGGTTCCCAGATTCCTGGGGTCCTTGAGGCTTTTCCTGAGCCCCAAAAGTGAAACTGTTTTCAGAATGATGCATGACTTGGGGTCCCGTTTTCTGTGTTGATATTTGCACTTACCTCTTTTTCTTGTCCTTGTTTTTTGCTTGTTTTTTGAGACAGACTTTCTCTGTATAACAGCCCTGGCTGTTCTAGAACTCACTTTGGAGTCCAGGTTGGCTTCAAATTCACAGAGATCCACCTGCCTCTGCCTCCTGAGTGCTGGATTAAAGGCGTGCACCACCACGCCCGGCTCTTTCTTCTTTAAAGTGGACTTGGGCTTGATGCGATTAGAACGTAGTTTCCAAAAACGGTCCTAAATACATTTTTGCCATGTGTACTGCACATTTAGGTAAAGCACTATCCTCAGCATTGACAGTTTTAATATAAAATATCGACCAACTCTGAGAAACTGTTTAGAAGCTCTGTATCCTGCAGTAACAGATCATCCGCCAAAATTTCATTCTTTATAAAAAAAATCATTACTTAGCAAATTTGCTTTCATCTTTACCAAAGGATAAAATTTTATATGTATACCAAAGAATTATTTTAAAACAAATTTCCTTATGAAATGTTATTAGTAAATGATTGATTTGTATATCAATGTTAGATACTTAGCCATGAAAATTTCCAGTCACTCTCGGGAAAAGCAGCTATGGACTTGAAACCTAGAAGGGGCTCTTTTTCCAGTTGCTCCCTCTAGAGGGCGCCAGAGGTCTTCTGCCAGCCAGGGAACATTCTGGCCAGAGAGAGCAGGAGCCTCTTCTGGGAACCTGATTCACATTGCTGACTTCAGTCGGTTTCATCTTAGTTCCAGGTAGAAGCAGACAGACAGGACGAAATCGCAAAGAGAGAGACGGATGCAGCCCAAGACACTTCAGGGTTTAAGAGTAGTTGATAAGATCTGTCAAAAAGTCTCTGCCTTGTGTCCTGTGTTTCCCTTTGGCTCATCTCTATAAAAACTTGGTGACTTTAACAGGACCTATATTCTTCTGGCCCTTCTCAGTTTCCGACATTTTCCAAAGTAGTATGTCTTGGGAGCCTCAGACTTCTGCGAAGCCAGCAGTGGCCTGCATTGCCTTTGGCAAGTCGGGTTATTTTATTTGCAACACTGAGCTAGTGGAGAAAGATTCCCCACCCAGAACCAGGTCCACTTTGTGTGTGACCCGGAGGATGTAGCAGAGGCCACACTGCTCCCCAGCCTAAGGCGCCAGTTTCTGAGTTAGATGTTTTGGGTGGGGCCTGAGAATGAGCCTTCTCAGCCACCAACCGCACACGCTACCAGTCTGGAGAATGAGAATGGCCGCAGCACATACCGCATGTTTGCTGATTTGATCCACACCCTGTCACTGGATGGTGGCGTCCCTGCCAGTGGAAGAACTCATCTCAATGGCCAGTCTGTTTCACTGCTGATAGGAATAAATACCAGGTTCCGAGGGCACACTGGAAGAACTTGGGACTGTCAGGAGTAGACCCGGGTCTTCTGATCGTGATCAACACTGGTCCCTGAGCCTGGCCATCTTTCGACATTTTCCTTTAATAGCAGGCATGGATGCTTGGCAAATGTTACTTGGAAAGTGCTTAACATGCACTGTGGAGGGCTGGCGCGTGTCTGTAACTGGGGAGCTTAACATGCACTGTGGAGGGCTGGTGCGTGTCTAACTGGGGAGCTTAACATGCACTGTGGAGGGCTGGCGCGTGTCTAACTGGGGAGCTTGTCCCATCACAGCTGTGTCATAGTCCCCTCCCGGATTTCACTGGTTTCTGCCCCTCCAGCGGCCAGTAAAGTGTTTGCTCCACACAGTCTACTTAGGAAGCACATCTGTTTGAGCTTTACATGCAGCATAATGTAAGGAAACAGGAAAAGGGAACCCTCCCTGTTTTCATCTACGGCATGTCGTGGAGATAAAAATATCCTTGAGTGTACCTAAAGTTAGCAGAGGAGAAACAGAAAATGCCAAATTTCACCTCTTTAGAATTGTCTGTCTGAATGCTGTTGAATTTCCAAAACTAGTGACACTCAGCCTGCTCTTACAGAACTTTTTGTCTTTCTATCATTGTCTCAGTGAGCAACTGCTGGAGCTATAAATAAGATCCTGGCTACAAATCTGGTCTCCGGCTTAAAGGACTTTGTGGTGAAGGGAAGAGAAGAAATGTTCATGATTAACTGCAGGATCGCACCAGGCAAATGCAAGTCCGCATACAGAGTGCTGGGGATGAGAGGGAGGGAGGGGGAGGGAGGGGGGAAGGAGGGAGGGGGGAGGGAGGGAGGATGCCAGTTTTCACTGAGAGACAATGGATCATGGCAGCAGAGGAAGGGCCATCGACCTGTCTGTGAAAGGCAGGAGGACCATGTTTGTTTAAGTCTTCCAGACAGTGAACGTCACGTGGGGAAAGACACAGGTAGGTTCCTTCCTGTGCGGGCTGTGCAGGGCACATTGAGTTCCACACGCGTCACTGAGAACATCGGCAGTTCTGAGCTGGGAGAGACCTGTACGTGCGTGGTCAGAGCTGGCACACAATGTCCGTGGCAGAGCTGTCAGTCAGAAGTGAGGTGACAACAGTGGGGTGCAGAACAGCGAGAAAGACACCCCAGGCTGACACGGTTGTAAGCCGATTTTGGAACACGGGTTCGCTGTCTCTGCTGCAACCACTGACTCCTTGGGCTTTAGTTTTCTTACCTGTGAAACAGCGGTTGCTGGGTAGCGCCCCATGCTCTGTGAATCAGCAGGCCTTGTTTTAGGCAAGCATAACTTGGGATAGCTAAAGTCACCTCCTCACCCCATTATTATTATTATTAGATCGTTTGGGAATTACACATCATGCACCCCAATCCTGCTCATTTCCCAGTCCTCCTGTATCTGTACTCCACCCTTATAGCCTCCCCACAAGAGAAAAAGAGAGAAAAACAAAGACGAAACTTCTTACTGGCCCCTCTGGACAACAGCCACCCCTCTGTGAGCCAGCCCGTCCTCTCTCACAGCAGTCAGAGTCAGAGTCTCCAGTTCCGCCATCCACGTACCGCGCGGCTCCCTCATTTCTCCTGGCCCTCCCTCCGTCATGTGCATTGGTCATGGTGGCATTGGGAGCTGCAGTGCACCATACAGTGTACACTTTTGTCCAAACAGCTTTTCTTACCGATGTTCGGTGCACTGAGTTCTGGTCTGGTTCAAGGCACCTGACTCCCGCCACTTTGTCAATATTGGTCCTCCCTGAGATCTTGGATACCCTGCTAATGCCCAGAGTCCTGGAGGCCCTGTGGCTATGGCTCCCTGCAGGACCTGCCCCTCCACAGGCTCCAGCAGTTCATGGATGGGTAGGTGTTCCTCCTCACCCTTCTAATCCCCCAAAACTATGGGATTCAGTTTGGCAAAGCCAGAGGCAACCAAAGGTTCTTGTTGATCTGTCTGTGGTTTGGGGCCAGGGCTAAGATAGAATTCTTGACTTTGAATTTAATTCTGACCCATCTTCGTTTCAACTGACTGCTGTTATTGCAACTTTTCAAACATGATGTAAAAGGGAAAACTCATGTCACTGGATTTTTAGACATGAGAAAGTGTGTTTCCAGTTCTGAAAAATGTGCAGGTGATTTAGATTATGTCTTATAAACACAGGGGTTTGTATCAGGGGCAGAGACCAGATTTCATGACTATAACTGGAAATCTCAGACAACAGATGAATCGCGTAAAACATCGCTTCATCCAGAAAAGCAAGTGTGTCCTATGGTTAGCATTTATCCTACGGGTTGGATTTATCTCGGAATGCTCAGGGAAATCTAAGGAAGCTGGAAGAGCGCTTGGGTCTCATCCTGTGCAGAGTGCAATGGCCCAGCTCAGACCCCAGCCAAAAGACCGACGGCTTTTGTTCTCTGAGGGGGTGGGAAGGATATGGGAAACAAGGATCCGGCCACAGAGAAGATTCAAGGGAGAAAAATGAATCATCAGCTACCAGGAAACACCAGGAGCTCCATAATGGAAAGGAATCCTGTGCTGGGGGGGCAGAAATGACACAGGATCTGCAGAGGGGCTTTCTAGCGATCCAGCAGACAAATCCTAGGTCACATGAGCTTTGGGTGTCAGCCATTCCTGGGGCCTTAGTGACTTCCCCCAACAGCTGCCCCCAATGTTCATCACGGGCAGCACCAGCTACTTAATATGTGAAGACTGTTTCCACTGTGCAGCCCACGTCCAAAACGGCCCTGTGAATGAGGCTGCTCATGCAGTCTGCACATGCGCCTCCAACCAGCAGCCCGGGACGCTAACCTTTGACCCCCGTAGGAAGAGATAGGGCCCCTGCGCTCAGAAGGTCCTGATCTATAGCCTGGGGAGATTGTAAGCACACTTTGCAAGCTCCTGAGCCCTGGGACATGATGGAATTTGAGCAGGATTCCCTTTTGATGTACCTTACATCTTTAATTAACTTGGTTTATTACTTTTAAATCACCCTTACACTAAAATCTCTTCATTTCATTTGGGTCTTCTTTAATGTTTCTAAATTAGTCTTTTATTTAAATGTTTAAAAACAGTGACAGTTTAAGTATATAAAGATTAGCAAGAGGATACGATGAATTGGCATGGCCTTACACGTTTCTTCAAGCATTCTGTCAGATTTGTTCTGCTCCTGTCCAGTTTGTGTTTTTCCTAGGTATACCAAAGGGAATCCCAAATGCTATATCAGGTCATCCATAAGTGACGTAGCACATAAAGATTTTCACCATAACAATAATGCTATCCTATGTAGCAGTAATGATTTTTTATATCATAAAATACCCAGCATTCCACTCACTTTTCAACTTTATTTAGAGGAGGCAGCCATGGTGCGCATGTGGAGGTCAGAGGAAAACTTGTAGGAGTGAGTTTTCCTTCACCATGTGCGTCCTGGCTTGTGCGAAGCCATCCATCCAGCCGACGCTCCACTGAAGTGCTTGTCCAATGTGTCCCTGATGGCGGTTGTTCGAGGTCCGTGTAAGTCTACACACAGGCATTAGTGCCTGCTGTTCTGCCATGCTGTTCTCTTGCAAAAGGAATGGGGTCATGGTTACTACGGAATTTCCCGCATTTCAGACTGACTTACTGCATTCTTGTGGGGTTTTTGCAAAGGACCCTCATTCCTTTACGTTGGGAAATGGACTTAGAGACCACAGTCTCCGTTAAGGGGTAGCCTTTGTTCCTATGTTGTCATTGTTTATAGTTTTGTTTTGGTTTATCTTCAGAATAAACAGAGTTGGAAGATTTGTGTGCGTTTGAAAATTAGAAACCGTTAGTCTAGGAGTATTGGAGTATTAGCTGAGGCTACTTTTCTTCCACTGTTGGAGAGGTAAGCTGTTAATATTGTAACAGATCTTTATCCCACAAAATAAAAGTATTCAACTTCTGGTCTTTAAAGGAAACATGTTTCAGGCTGGAGAGATGGCTCAGAGGTTAAGAGTACTGACTGCTCTTCCTGGGGTCCTGAGTTCAATTCCCAGAAACCACATGGTGGCTCACAACCATCTATTCAATCTAGTGCCCTCTTCTGGCATGTAGGAAGAACACTGTATACGTAATAAATAAATAAATCTTTAAAAAAAACAGAAAGAAACATGTTTCTAGCTGCTGATGCCATTTCCTCAGGAAAGTGAAAGCTTGAAGCAGAAAATCAGTGTCTGTAGGTATCCATCCTGGTCTATGTATTAAAACCCTAACCAGAACTGGACTCCCAAGAACTGAGAAAAGAAAAATGTTTCCCACCCCTGCATTAATACATTTAGAGATGTGGCTTCAAGCAGTATAATGTCCTGATCAAGGGTCTAGCCTTAGTGAAAGATGAAAGAGAGAGGGAGGACCAGCATAAAAAAGAGGGAGACAGTCAGCGGTGGGATTTGACAAGAGTACTGAGCTTACGATGTTGCTTATTTACGGCTGTTGCTGAGTCTGCGAGGGTAAGGAGAGGATTTTAATAAGGTATTGGAAGAAAAACTTAAAAGCGGGCTAGCTGGGGTAGTAAAATGCTTGCCTCGAATTCAGACAGAGCTGATTTGATCCCAGAGCACACATGAAAGCTAAGTGTGGTGGGACCCATCTGAGGTCCCAGTGCAGGGGAGGGGGAGACCAAGACTGGCGGATCCCTGGGGCCTGCAGGCCTAATCAGTGAGCTCCAGCTTTAGCGAGGGTCCCATTTCAAAACCTAAAGTAAAATTCCATTGAGGGAGACACCTGACCTGACACTGACCTTAGACCTCCACACACAAGCATGTACCCATACACAAGCATGTGGACACACACAGATATGTGCGTGCACACACATGATATGATAGATGGTCGAGTTCATTCTGTGTCTGTAGCAGACTCTCCAGAGAGAGGATTTTAATAAGGTATTGGAAAGCCTGAAGGGTGTGGCATTAGCATTGTGGTGACGAGTGTTCAATTGTAGTGTTAGACACTAATGTCACATCCTCCTGAGACAAAAGCATAGGTCGGCTTTAGTTTGAGCACCATTCCTGTCAACCTGAAGCAGGTCTTCACTGAAGACCAAGATATGGTTGTAAAATGACTACTATGTATCAATCTCGTATTATTAAAACAAAGTTTTAATAATTTTTCAGTAGCCTCGAAAGCATAGAAAAAGACAAAGAATTTAGCCTACTTTGGCTATCCATCATTTCCATGTGCTTAGCCTTCTGGGGACTATTTTCATTCCATCACCAGGCAAATAATAGTCCCCACCTACACTGAGTGCCCGCCCTCAGAGACGTACAATCAAGTGAGGGAGGCAGATCATACATATTCAGAATGGAAAATACAAGTGTAATCCTAGCGTACAAAGCTGTTAACCATCACCGTGGTCCTATTCACACACATGCAAATCTGACGGCCGCTGACTATGAGAAGGCCAGTCTCTCTGAAGCCTTCCTCCCTGAGCAGCTTTGGCGATCGAGGCCCACATAGACCACTATGCCCGGGGCCCAGTTGTGGTTACCGACTCTGCACTGAGTGACAAAGCTGTGGCTCTGAGCTCCATTCTGACAGCCCTAGAGCCGTGTCTTCTCTGATTGTCCACCCTGCCTGGTCTCTACCATAGCCACACATGCAGCCACCACCAACTCCTTCCTAACACTGCTGACACTCAGACGTTGGCTTCTGCCTGTGCAGGGCAAAACTTATTTCTTCAGCAAACTCTTATTCAACATGTTCCACAGCAGACTACAATATGCCTCAACCCACTGGGGGGAGGATGGTGGTGAGTGAGACAGTCTTCCTTTTCATGGAACTCTTATTTCAGTGCAGGAGAAAGACAGTAAACACACACACATCCATTGAAACATGCCAGAAACAACTTACCATGAGGACCCCAGTCCCGTTTGTAGGGTTTGAAAAGCAGAGAAGCACCCATGCATGCTGTTGGTTAAATGTCTCAAAATACTGGAAGCCCCTTTGAATTCACTCTTTAGTTAGCCTGGGCCAAGTCAGTAGGGTCTCAAGGATATGTTTGGTCAGTTTTAATTAAGTAATGATTTTGTGAGCTTTATTGTTTTAATATATGTAATCTGAAACAATAAAATGTGTTAAGTATTAGTAGATTCTGTCTTGACTGGCCAGTAAATAGTTCAGGGCAACTTTCTTATTTCAGATTTTTTAATTTAATTTAATTTAATTTAATTTAATTAGAAACAAGCTTGTTTTACATGCCAATCCCAGTTGCTTCTGTCTCCCCTCCTCCCCTGCCCCCCACCGACCCCCTACCCCATGCCCTTTCTGCTCCCCAGGGAGTGTGAGGCCTTCCATGGGGGATCTTCAAAGTCTGTCATATCATTTGGAGCAGGATCTAGCCCCCCCCGTATGTCTAGGCTGAGAGAGCATCCCTCTGTGGAGAATGGGCTCCCAAAGTCCATTTGTGTACTAGGGATAAATACTCATCCACTGCCAGTAGACTTCCTAGACCTCTTAACACACCCGCCATCAAGAGGTCTGGATCATTCCTATGCTGTTTTCCAACTATCAGTATGGGGTCCATGAGCTCCCCCTTATTCCGGTCAGCTGTTTCTGTGGGTTTCACCATCCTGGTCTTGACCTCTTTGCTCATCACTCCTCCCTCTCTGCAACTGAATTCCAGAGTCCAGTTCAATGTTTAGCTGTGGGTGTCTGCTTCTGCTTCCATCAGCTACTGGATGAAGTCTCTAGGATGGCATATAAGGTAGTCATCAATCTCATTATTGGGAAGGGTGTTTAAGTTACCCTTTCCACCATTGCTTAAATTGTTACTTGGGGTTAACCTTGTCCATCACTGGACATTCCATAGTGCCAGATTTCTCTTTAAACCTATAATGGCTCCCTCTATTATGGTACCTATGCTCTTGCTCTCCTCTGTTCTTCCCCCAACTGAATCTTCCTGCTCCCTCCTGTCCTCCTCTCCCCTCCTCTTCTCCCCTTCTCCTAACTCCTCTCCCCTCCCCCCATGCTCCCAATTAGCTCAGGAGATCTTGTCCCTTTCCCCTTCTCCAGGGGACCATGTAGGTCACTCTTAGGCTCCTCCTTGTTTCCTAGCTTCTCTGTCGGTGTGGACTGTAGGCTGCTACTCCTTTGCTCTATGCCTAAAATCCACATATGAGTGAGTACATACCATGTTTGTCTTTCTGTGACTGGGTTACCTCACTCAGGATGGTTCTGAAAGAAAACTTTAGTACAGAGGATTACACAGGAAAAGGGGTAGTTAGGAAATGATCAGAAAGGATTAATACAAGTTGAGAGAAGCAAAGAAAAGACCAACAATAAAACTTAAGTCCAATTACAATGTCGGCCTCACCACACATTGCCCTGAAGGACCTGAAAGGCAGCTGCCTGCACTAGATGTCCTTTCCCATCCACAGATGGTGGGGAGCGACCTCAAGTGACCGTTTCCTGGGGTGTTGTGGAATATTGTTTTAACCGTGTAAAGGTGCAAGGCATGTTACATTCTCTTGATTAAATAAAATTAAACTGGTGTCAGGAGGCTGAGTCAGCAACTAGCTGGCAGGAAGTGGCAGGGAGGAACTAATTATCAGGAGGATTCTTATGTGGGGGCTGAGTAGAATGACCCTTTTCAGGAGACCTAAGCAAAGAGAGACCGGTAGTTAACTTGATATTCTGCCTCTCTCAGCTAGTAGGATTTCACCTCAACCTTTGAATCCTGAGTTCTATGCAGGGATAGAGATCGAGGTAAAGTTTCCTTTAGTGGCTGTGGTGGAGCTGACAGAGCCTGAGGGAACAGAATCCCTGCCTGGCTACTACTCCTGCGGCCTAACCACTGCTGGTAGCTGCTGAGTTAAAATTGTCAGTGGGACTGCAGTTGTTAAAGGTGCAGCCACTGTATTGAATACAAAGCAACACCGAGACTTTTGAAGAACCTCTGGATCAGACGTGCAGCGGTACCTTTAATAAGATCCAGCCAAGGACCCAAGTAAAGCAGGAGCCCAGGACACATGGATTAGAATTTAGGAATAGTGTCAGACAGGAAATGACATCTAGGCTTGGCTGCACATGCTTGTAGTCTCAGCATGCTTTCTCGAGGCTGGAAAAGGAGGGGATTGGAAGCCAACATTGACTACAAAGTGGGACTGAGTCTAAAAAGGAAGAGCCAAGCACGGTGGCACCTAGTTTTAATCCCTGCACTTGGGAGGCAGAAGCAGATGGATCTCTGTGAGTTCGAGACCAGCCTGGTCTATAGAGTGAGTCTAGGACCATTGGGCCTGCATAGTGAAACCCTGTCTCAAAGCAAAACAAAGAATAAATAAAATTTTTCAAAGGAAGGGAGGGAAATGAAAATCAAAGAGGGGAGGATTTTTTTTTCGAGACAGGGTTTCTTTGTGGCTTTGGAGGCTGTCCTGGAACTCACTTGGTAGTCCAGGCTGGCCTCGAACTCACAGAGATCCGCCTGCCTCTGCCTCCCAAGTGCTGGGATTAAAGGCTTGCGCCACCACTGCCCAGCCTTCATTCTATATGCTTAAGAATGATAAGCCAATGGCATTTCTTTAAATGTTTTAACTGTAAAGTGAGACTTTTAAAAAAATTAATCTAGTTTTTCCTGGATTATGATTATTAGAGAAAAGGCAAATATTGGCCACCTGATGAATTTCCTGGGTTAAAAAATGGTTTTCCATAATTTTCTAAAATTTGAAGTAACTTGAGGCTTACTTCTCACCCTAGTTACTTCCTGATTAAGTGTAAAAGCCTAAAGGTATGGCTTCCTAGGCATCAAGTAGTATAGCAGATGTTTGGA